TTAGCCAAATGATGACTAGCCCACTAATTAAACTTTGTTTTGCTTCAGTGTGGTTTGATAAACGGAATATTCATTTTAAAATGAATTGGGTCGAACAAATGTCTATACATATACACACTTATCTTATGTATGTATCTAGGGCCCAAGCCTGAGTGGTGTGCATGCTTTACATTATAAATATAGGGTGAAGGTAGCCGAATAGTAAACTGATTTCTTTTTATTTTTTTAGTCTTTTGAACCTTAATGGTTCCCTCCTCTTCTTGGCGCACGTCCTAGATTTAATGGCGCGGAAATTAAAGAAGAATGAAATGATTTGAGATCTCTTTCCAAAAGTCAAAACTTCTTTTAGTAAAAACAAAACCAAAGTAGCAACACAGAATCTAATTAGTTTTTTTTCACCAAGGAGTTCCCTCCATAACACGTCGAACCCGTTTCAAGTTTCAGAAATTTTTAGAACCAAAACAAATACTTCAATTCCCTCCAGAAAGTTGAATCTCAGATCCAAGCACTTCCAAATCTGGGTTCAAAGTCCCTCATCTTCACACACTTCATATACAGTTCTTCAGTTCCTCCTTCTCTATCCTCAATCCCATTTCTCTCTCTCTCTCTATTTCTACATTAATGGCGGCTCTCTATCTAAAACCTCAAAACGACCACAAAGAGAATGTCACACCCTCAACAATGACCATTAATTCTATCAAGCCTCTGGATTTATCTACATCCATTGATAAAGACAAAACACAAATCAAAATCAGAAGAAAAGGATCTAGAAGACAGCCTCTTAAAGACATCACCAATCTATTTGTCTCACCATCAGTACTGTCCTCTTCGTTTCTGGTTCGACACTTTCCCTCTTCGCCGAGTCTATCAGTTGGTCCCAAATGCATGAAAAGAAGACCAAGTGTTGGTCTCAAGGCTGCTGCTACTTCTTCTTATACATTCTCTTGTAAAAGCTTCAGATGATTTATTTTTTGTTTGGAATTGCTTTCTATCATCTAGAAAATTGGGTTATTTTCCTTTTTGATTATTGTATCTTTTGATTGAGGTTATATATCAAAACCGTGCTAGACATTGGCATTCATGTACCCAACACATACAGGATATGATACCATGAGTATACCTTTTTTTCTTAAGAAAAGTGTTCTGGTTTGGTTGTAGACTTGTAGTTATGATTCTTGCATTATCCCTTAAGACATTCTTTGTAAAATGCCAATGTTTCACCTGTTATCGTTACAATCACCGTTCACTAAAAAAATATATGATATGACATAGTAAAAATAATGACATGTATTATGAATAAATGTGACATTATTAATGTTAATTTTTCTTTTTGATAAACCTTTTAAATATGGTAATAAATCATACATAATCATTAAAATAAATATGTTCAAATAAACATTAAATAATATAATAATAGAAATAGAAACACTTTATAAATTTTGAAATATTAAGTCTAGTTTTATAATCATATAACTGTAATACTATTTTTTTCTTTTGGATATCTACAAATTGTAGAAATTTTGCATAGTTTTATTTTTGATAATTATACAATTTTATATCAATTTTTTAAAAAATTATACAAGTTGATTTAATATATCTTAATCAAAGAGATAAATAAAAATAGATCTAAGATTATAATTTGAAATATATATTTATTCTTAAATATAACTTAAAATAAATCAACATATTTATTTTAATTTTATATCGAAATATAAATATAAAGATATAAATTTTGAAATACTAATAAAAAAATTCAAAAATTATTTAGAAAAAATTTATCACTACAGACGGTGCAGAAAAACATATAATTTCAGTATAATTTATGTTCCTAAATTGACTGGAACTATATACATCAATACATGTAAGTTATGATATGTTCCTTTTTAACTAAGAATATCTTAGATATAAATAAAGTTGGTGATTGCAATTTCAGCCCAAATGTTCATAAACTTTTCCAGTAGATAAAAGATATATCATATATAAATATATTCTTTTTTGAAAATGACATTATTATTCAATAGTTTTTTTCTCTGTTCTAAAAATTGGCCGTCTAGCCGCCTAGGCGCTAGGCGATCCTCTTCCGCCCCGATTTATGCCAAATCGCCGTAGAAAACCGGTCTTCCGATTTTAACCCGCCTAGACCGCCTAGACCACCTAGGCGGCCGCCTAATCCATTTTTTTTTTTTAATAATATTTTTTATATATTTATTTGTTTTAAAAATTAATAAATTATAATTTTGATGAAATTATATCATATTAACTTTGTATATTCTATTTTTGTGTGTTTATAAGATTCTAAACATGAAAATGTATTAATGTTATACATAATTAAAGATTAATATATCATATAACATATCAAATAGTCTAAAAATTATACCCCGTATAATTCCCGCTTAATCCCCGATTTTCTCTCTAGGCGTTAGGCCCAATCGAGCCGCCCGACTAGCGCCTAGCGCATTCTTGAACATGGGTTTTTTCATAAGAATCATTTATTTCTTTTATTCTTTTTTTGTCAATTTTTTTTCAATTCTTTATATAAAAGCGCCAACATGAATTTTCTTAAGATTATTAGGTTCTAAATGGTAAAAACAGTTCAAATGGTGCAAATCAAACGGATCTAGATTTAGCACATCAAACATCAAATACAGAACAAACAGATCAAGTTAGAAAGATACATGTCAAGCATAAGCATGAGAGATTAAAATCAAATAGATGAAATAACTTTTATAGTTTTAAATGGTAAAAGCAATTCAAATAAAATAAAATAGATTATATATGTTTAAATAATAAAAATACAGTAAAACATATCAAAACACATAATATATAAATAAAATAGATAAATAACAATATATATTGTACTAAACTCTATTACTGCAATTTTAAAATTAAAATATATTAACATTAAAATTTAATGAAAATAATTGATTTCCATTAGTCTACATATTTAAATTATATATTTGTAAAATACATATTATAATTAAAAACACAGTATTTAAATATTATAATTTAAATACTTTTAAATTATATCAAAAAGAGAAAAAAAATAATACGTATACAATGATAATTTTTATAGTGTTAAACTTGTCAGTAAAATAGATAAAAAATATTATATTTATAAAAGTTAATAATATATTTTAAAAAAAAAATTTAATAAAATCATTTATTAGTCAAGAGAAAAAAACGAATAAACAACTTCAAACGTATAACGGTGTTAACTGCATAAAGATTTTTCTATTTTTTCATAAAAGAACAAAAAAATGTAAATTACATGCTCTCGCTTTCTGTAATTTAAAACAAGAAAACATTGAATAGTAAATTTACTATGAAAAATCTACATATGCGGAAGATCTGCATACACCATTCAAACTCTCATGAGTTTGGTCAGGTAGCAGAGCGATGCATAGATCGTAGATTTTACAGAAAAGCGCTCTATTTGGGAAAATAATTCACTCGTCAGAAAAATGTACTCTCTTTTTCTGATTTTGTCATAGAGCAAGTCTATGTCATCTGCTACATCACATATGTCACTACAATTCTCTAGTGATTTACTGATGTGTTGCATAATACTCTGGTCAATCAGTTTGCTGACACCTTTTTGATAAAATCTGGATTTGGAGAAGAATAATGCTTCATTTTTTTAAAACGTAAGTACAGTCTACGGAGTGTTATGAAATCTATTTTATAACTACAAATCACTTATCACCTTAGTTGGTGGAATCGTAAACTACACTATATACCACCTCTTGATAAAATGTAATAAAACATTAGACAACCTTTTTTGATTATTTTTTTCTGGTTGAAACTTTTTTGAATATTCTTGTTGTGATGAAATCTCCTGATGAATCAAATGGGTGAATATAAATATATTGATAATCTCCGACCCACCAATCTAAAACCATCACAAACCCATAAGTGCTCTTACCCTTTGACTTCATTTTCATATTTTACTCCTTTCCTTTTCTATCTTATTGGATTTCATGAATCCCTCTCCTCGTCCATTATCATTACCTCGTATTATTAACCCTCTCTCTCTCTCTCACACACACACACACATATATATATTAGTTTGTGCGCATGCATATATTATATATACCATGATTGGATGGATAGGGACGGTCAAGTTAGAGATGGTGTAAGTTTTGGTATTAAAGATTTAATTTGCGCGTTATCGACATATAAAATTGTTTATAATAATTAGCACTCAAAGCCGTCGTCCCTTATCGCTCTTTTTTATAGACCAATGTAACTATCAAAGATTCATATCTTTCTTACCATGATGATGTAATTACGGAAAACGATTGTAAATGGATATAACTTTATCCTTAAGATTTGGATTTTAAGTAATCCACATTTCATTAATTAATAGCTTACTCTTATTTACTTTTGATCGTGAAGTAGATAAAAGGTTATACGTGGTGACCTAACAATTTGTCGAGTGTTTAAAATGGATGATTGCATGCATGACTGAAACGTCTAAATGCATTCTAATTAACCATAACGATATATTCACATAGTTTTTTTTTTTGGGTATAAAATCCATCCTAGAGACAAGGTCACCTAACAAGTCAAGTGTATAAAAATGGAACGCACATGAGACTATAAAGGGCTTGGCCAATCTTAGGGCCTAGCACAACAAGTATATATTAAGATGTCGATGTATTAAATATGTGTACTATGCCGTAATGCGACGATCTTTAGCAATTTTAAATACTATATATTCAAAGCACCAATTTGCATTCTGAAAGTCGCAAGAGTCACTTGCTAAGCTGGTAACAGATTAAATATGATTATTGTAGATGTTTTTAGTAATGAAATAAAACGAAGTGCAAACGAGAAAACCTGCCGTCGGTGACAACTCACGCTTGCACTTACCATAAGCACTCAAGCCCTAAGCTAAGCTAAAGCCATCTCCACTACCACTACTTTGAAACTCTTCAAATAAATCTCTATAAATAGAAACACTCATGAGATCTCTTCTTTCCTCATATACAACTCATACACACCACGTTAACTACAATTGCAATCTCTCTCTCTCTCCCTTTCCGTTACCTTTCTATATATAGAAACTAGTTCCAGTATATTGTAATTGTAATGGCTAAGTTAAGTTTCTCGTTATGCTTCTTGCTGATTCTTCTGATAGCCACAGTCGCCACCGGAGGCCGTCCTCTTGAGCAGACTCCGGTTGGGCTGAAGGTGAGAGATTTAAGCCCTTCTATCAAGGCTACGAGCCAGACTGTGGTGGATGGTGAAGCTACTGGTGGAAGCGGCAGCCAAGGCAAATCTCCAGAACGTTTAAGCCCTGGAGGATCTGACCCACAACATCATTAGTTATTTAGGGTTTCCTTTATAATTAAGAGTTGTTCTCAATTTCTTCGAGACATGTATCTCTTATCAATAACTTGTTGCAGTGAAACTGTTTTTTTTTCTTTTGTAGTAAAATTGTGAATTTGTTTTTGTGAGATTATTACAAAAGTATAACAGTTTTACTGATACATTATTCTAAGTTTCGGTATCGTACCTTTGGATATTCTAAATTTGGTTATGTTTACGTTATATGATATTCCATATTAGTATATTTCGTTATGTTTTGACTGCAACAAGGACCGCATCATTATTATCATTTACCTTTTTATTTCTATACTATTTTGTGCCTTAACAATATACTAGATTTTGACCCGCGCTTAAAAGCGCGGAAATTTTTTATGATTAAAAATTTAGATAATTGGGGTTTTGTCTTAATTTAAAGAATGTTTTGGTATAAAATCAGTTCACCAAAATTTGTGGTGATGATTGTTTTTCATTAGTTTTTAGTTTCAATTTTTCTTTTTAGATTTTTCTTTTTTGGGTTTTAATTTTTAAGTTCTATTTTTGATTTCAGCTTTTGGTTTGAGTTTTTAATTTTTAGATCCGCTGAGTTAGTTTGAACTGATATTACCCAATTTTTTTAGGATTAAAAATTTATATAATTGGGGTTTTCTCTTAATTTAAAGAATATTTTGGTATAAAATTAGTTCAGCAAAATTTGTGGTGATGATTGTTTTTCATTAGTTTTTAGTTTCAATTTTACTTTTAGATTTTGTTTTAGATTTTCATTTTTTGGGTTTTTAAGTTTCTATTTTTGATTTCATCTTTTGGTTTGAGTTTTTTAATTTTTAGATCCGGTGAGTTAGTTTGAACTGATATTACTAACAAACAAATCTCAATTAATCGAACATGCAATTTATAACTGAAAAGATGACAAATTAATTTTCTAAAATTTTGAAATAGTTTATTTTGTAATAAAAAGCAAAAAATATAATTCAAGCGCATAAATTTTTTATGATTAAAATTTATGTAATTGGGTTTTATCTTAATTTAAAGAATGTTTTGAGATAAAATCAGTTCACCAAAACTTGTGGTGATAGTTAGCCTTTGATTAATTTTTAATTTTAGTTTTTATTTTTAGATTTTGTTTTAAATTTTGGTTTTTGATTTTTAGTTTATAAGTTTCTATTTTTGTTTTTCAGCTTTTGGTTTGGGTTTTTAATTTTTAGACCTGCTAAGTTAGTTTGAAATGATATTACCAACAAACAAATCTCAATTAATCGAACATGTAATTTAAAACTGAAAAGATGACAAAATAATTTTCTAAAATTTTTGTAATAGTTTATTTTGTAATAAAAAAGCAAAAAATATAACCAGCGTTTTCAGCTTTTGGTTTTGGATTTTAGTTTTTAGATTTGGTTTTTGGTTTTGCTTTACATTTTTTTTTTAAATCTGTAAATTATTTAAGAAAAATAAAAGAATAAATTATTTAAAAGTAATCATTAAAATTTATCAAGATAGAGTGATTATTATTTAAAAAAAAATATTAACATGTTTTAAAGTACATGATTTAAATAAGTGATTAATAATAAATAATTTTGTTTTGTTGAAAATATTAAATATTTTTGGGCTAAAAATATTAACATAAAATATTAACATGTTTTAAAGTACATGATTTAAATAAGTGATTAATAATAGATAATTTTGTTTTGTTGAAAATATTAAATATTTTTGGGTCTGAATAGTAATTGATTTTTGATCCATTAAGGTGGAAAGTTTATTTAATGTTTTTTGAAGTTTTTCTTTAATACTAAGCCCAAAAACCAAACAATTAAATGTCATAAAAACAAAAGTAAGCCCAAAACTCTATTCTATAAATTACCGTCGGTTTAATTTAAGTAATGCGGTTCAATCAATTATGTAACTTGTATTATTTGTAACACTTTAGAAAGGGTCCAAATTTAAATGAAAACTTGTATCAGTATATAAAAAGAATGACTCTATTTTAATAGAATAGATAATGATAAGATTATTAGAGAGTTAATATAACATAACTTTCTAGTAATAGTCTATTTTTTAAAAAATCACACATGAAATCAAGTCATAACTTCTGTTTTAATATATAAGATCTACAGCAATACAAGGTATGAGGTTGATTTAGATGGTCCTGCACATATATATATGCGATTCTGTCTTATGATTATATAGTGTTTATGTCGATTGTGACTAGTCTGTTGAAAAGCAAAAGCAAACAAACAAATACGTCTAACTTTCAACATATAAATAGTCAAACAAAATACGTATTATTTTTGTTTTTTAATCGACATAGCAGTAAAATGGAATGAAAGTACTTTTAGATGTGGTCGATCTCACTGGCCCGTGCATAGTATAATTTCATCCAGTAATTAGGTCGCGTTTTAATTTGATCGTTATTAGTTTATTAAATAAAAGATGAAACTGTTGAAGACAATGAAATAAACAGAAGTTGCATGGCGCATGTTCACATCTGGTTTCTTAACTGGATCGTCTAGTTAGCTAAAAGAAACTATGGTAAAATTAATAAGTTATAACACTAGGAAGCTGATTTTTGAATTTATGATATTCTTTACGCTGTGTGATTAAGGTGAATACATTTTTGTTAACTGTGTAAATGAACAAACTTGATATGCATCCTTTTGTATAAGCGTCGACACGTGGACTTTTCTGCCTTAGACTAAAACTCCTTTGAACACTGATGTTATACCACTTTAGCAATACATGCAAAGTAACAAAACCATATGGTTTTGTTGTTGTTAATTATGATAGACAATATCTTAAACACTGTAATAAGGATTTCGACTGGAAACGACTGTAATTTTAATATTTTTACTGTAGAAAAAAGTCTGTAAATTTTTGATATGATTTTAAATTTTATTTCTCTAGAATAGTAAAGAAAACTCTCAAAAATTGATGTGGATATTTGGTTTTACAGAACACTTATAAGGTTGTAGGTTATTTCTAAAACTATGATTTATTCTTTTTTATTAAAATTTGATTGCTTTCAATTTAGTGCTTTAAAAACAAATAGAACTATAGAGAACACATATAACAGCTACCAATCACCCCCAAAATCGGTATATATATATATGAACCGATGTAGTTTACATATACATATTTTTAATTCAAGATTTTTTTTTTAAATGAACATGTATATATATATTATAACATATATTTGGCTATTTAAGTTAAAGCGTCGGTCCAACAATTTTGTTTTTCAGGGACAACAAAATAATCTTTATCGAGAGGTCAGTTTGTATTTGATTAAGCGTGCTTTACAGTAAACCAAACACCTAATACTATGATCGGTCATGAGTGAAAAAGTGAGATTCCGATAAATCAAATGCGTATCATTTTAATTAAAAGGATTAATCAACTCAACAAGACACTATTTTATAAATCATTTAAAGAACAATATGAAAAAAGCATTCGACCTAAAAGTCGACGAACGTGAAAACCAAAATGGCGATCGATAATCTGAAAATGGCATCATACAATAAAGTCTTTTCATCAACGAACAAAAGACGGCGAACGTGCAGCATTCGTTTTAAATTAAAAGCAAAACGTATTTTTATGAATAACGCCAAAAACTAATGAGCTATCACACGACCCAAATGGACCCTATTTGTCTATTGTTGTAATTCTTTCTGTTTAATATGGATTAATATCACCCAACATAAATTAAAGCATCGTGACCTTCTTATCACTTAGTGAACATTCACACGGTTTTGATGTTATAGAAAATTTATTTGCTTAATATCATATAAATTCTAAAATATGATAGTGTGGACCTCAATTAGTATAGGCTTTAGTTTATATATGAACCTCAAATATATTACTAAGTATAAATATTAGTAGCCACCTTTATAATAGCAAATACTTTATAGTGTATAAACTTGTGTGTAATATCCTAAGAAAATAATGCAAAACAAATGAAACTATAAGTAGTTTAGGAATATTGTACAGAAAAAAGTAGTTTAGGAATATTACACACGTTTCAAAAATGTATTTTCACAATATAAGTCAAGGTATATAGTCTAATAGTTTGTTCATGCATCGTTATTATGTCACCATCCCTATTCAAATTGTATATAATTCATGTTGACGAAACAAAATAATGAAAGAATGACTATATATATTGTAAACACAAAATACATTTTTGTTTCTGAATACATTTTTTACATTCTATTCAAAAAGAGAAAGAAATAATGACTATAACTATGAAGAAGCGAGTTGATAAGTATAATTTTTGTCTATTGAATAGAATAAATACGAATCAGAATATTCAATAATCAAAACGAAATCAAAGGCTCTTATTCGGCACTTGGATTATTTAAGTATTAATGAAGATGGGAAAGTATCAAACTTTAGTGATGAAAATATTAACATCAAAAGGAACTAGAGGCAGCAAATCGGTTCATTGTGCTGAAGTGGGGACCTTTCTAATGTGCATTCTAAATGAAGAAATAAAAGATCCATTACCCAAGTTTTTAAAAGTAATTGATTTTAAAATATATTAAAAGTTGGTCATATGTTATAATAATATGTCATATTACGATGTTTAAATTCAACTACCTGTAACTGTGATGAATTTGAATGATTTTTATGTTGCAGTTTTTTCAGTAATATACGCATCTTCGATAATACTCTTTGCTTCATAATTAAGACGATAACAAACGGTTTACTTTAAACATTCCATGTTTTTATAAAAAATCTTTGCATCGGAAACTGTATTTTTGAACATTAAACTTCAGAATGCAAAAAAATTTTAAACCCTTAGACACAGGATTATGGAAGTTCCACTAATCAAATTCCTATAGTATAAAAATACTGATTCTTAACTATATATACATATATATCAATAAGAGATATTGATTAAAGAACTAACTACATTATACATAGTGGGTTCAAATTATTAGTAAACAAGATCCAACTTTATAATATTTTCTCATTTCTTACTTTATTGGCACCTTAATTGAATCTCTTATTTAAGTTGGTCACTTTTTTTTTTAATACTGCATTTCATTATAGGAAGAAATATGTTGGGATATTAACATATCCTAAACGAACTGGACTTTTAACTTAATATCAGTTGAAAATTAGTAATTAAATTTGCCCAAATCTTCTATATATTATTTTCCATTCATACAAAAATGTGGAATTTTCTCTTCAATAAAATAAAAAGATACATTTAGAAGATTTTTAATTTTTAAAACAAAAAAAAATCATATTCGAAGAGACAAGACCCGGTAATTGGGAAGGAAAAAACATAGACCTAAAACTAATAATTGGGAAGAAAAGTTTATACTCGGTGAGTTGGCTTTGTTCCGGATTAGAAGTTCAGCGGTCCTTGCCGATCCAATAAGCGACGTGTATTCTTCTTGTCGGAGACACGACAATGCCAGAATTTATCGGTTTGTGATTTGTTATGCAACTTTTAAGTGATGAAGATGATAATACGTATACAGCTATGTTTGGTTAAACATCTTTTACGTTAGGATAATTATATGCTTCGGTTAAGATATCTATGTTCTTCTTACATTAGAACTTGATCATTTACCATAATCCCTAATAGTGTGCGTGGATCTATTGGTTTCTAATCTCTCTTGTACTCAGTCCTTTTGGTAAACGTATTGTGGAATCTGATTATTTGAAATAAAATGATTTTCCAGTGTTAAGAAAAAAACTAATAATCTAAGAAAATCCACAAAAATTAGAGTCTACACCAGTAAAAAAAGATACTCTAGCAAGTGAAAAGACCAAGAAAAAAAAAAAAGAGATAGAAAAGGGTGGCACATAATCCTGAAATTTATTAGGATGAACCAACGCCGCAACTCACTAGTTTGCTCCAAAGCACACCACAAGTTTCGAGTTCCACGAGTAGGTGCAAGTGCAAGAGAGTCAAAGCTCCTCTTCTTAAGAAAGAGCCATAAAGTTCCTTATTGAGAGCAAAAGATAGAACAAATTACCACAGAATCTATGCAGTTGCAAGCAAGATCAAGGATTTTAGTTGTCAATTCAAACGATAAAAAAAAGAAAGGAATTTCTTTGTATATTCGAAAAGAACGAAAGGATTCAAGCGAGATGTAAGGCCCAAAAATTTAGTAAAAGCCCATAAAGTCTATGTTCTAAGAGAGAACTTGCTTATGAAGAAGGTTAAGCCTAAAAGATGTTAAAAACTCAAAATTGTCTCAACCATGTCAACGGTGTACTTTGAAAGTGGAAACAAAACTTTTTCTTAAGAATATGTACATTTCAGTTACATTTGATGCTATCTAGAACGCATCCTTTTCAAGAAGTTTGTCATATAAAAGCTTGCAACGGTGCTTCTAGAGAAGAAACATCAAGAGGTCCCCAAGTAACAAGCTGCAGAAGATTCAGAGCTCAATATCTCCACAAGTAGAAAGAATCATCCACTTCAAGTCCCTCTCCTTAGCTTCAGTGATTCATTGCAAAACTATTCCTTGCGTATCATGGCCTTCCAATGAAAACAAGTTCTTCATCAAATACCCGAAAAGCTTCGGAGACAAATCCACAATTTGCATACATATGAACCAAAGCACCTCCCACAAAGAAATTTGACTCAGCATGACTCTGCCGATACCAAGAGCTTCTGAACTAGCACACGCTTTCAAAGCAGAGGAGTATGTAAACGTGTTTGGTTCTACACCATCTTGAATCATCTCTTTCAAGAAGACCAGCGCTGAAGAACATTAAAAGCGTCACTGGATTCTCCGCATTTACAATACAGCCAAACCAAAGTACTTCCGATATAGACGTTCTTCTCGATCGAGTTCTTGATGGTCTGAGCATGGAGTTCATTCCCCAATAATAAGGCGCCAACAGATCCACACGCTCTAAAAATACTACCGTAAGATTTTTAGCAATCAAATGTCTTCTCCTCATCACCCGAAAGAGGCTTATAGCGTCCTCACCAAAACCTTCTCGAGTTATCGAAGTCAACGTGACAGTGTTTCCCTAACTCATTCCATCAAACATTTTCTGAGATCTGATATCTCCCCACACTGAGCATACATGTTCATCAGTGAAGTTCCAACGAAAACATCCTTCTTAATCATCTTCTTAACTACCAAGCTGTGCACTTGCCTCTCAAATCTTAGCGCTTTCAAGATACTACACACCGTAAAAACATTAGGCAAGAACCCATGATTCAACATTCCAGTAAACATGACTATAGCTTTCTTCCCATGCCCTTTTCTCGAACAAGCTGATATAACAGGACAGCTGCCCAAGATATCACATCTTTCTCCTCCATCATATCAAAAGCTCGTAACGAACTTGTCACACCCCATTGCGTGTAGAAATAAACAAGAGAACTCTCTACAATGAGATTATCCAAACTACAATGCACCTGTCTCCCTAGCTCAAACTCTGATCTCCTACTACACAAATTCAACAAACAAATAAACAAACAAACAAACAATCCTCTCGCTCGTGAAACGGATCCCATGCTTCACCGTAGTCTTCAAACAACAAGAAACCCTCATCCTCAAAACCGTTTTTCAAATACCCATCAATCATCGCAGTCCAAAGTAACCAGTGTTTCTCTCAGACATACTGTCGAACACTTTACGTGCATAAACCAAATCACCGAGCCTAACACAAGATCTCATCAAATTATTCCCAAAATAGATAACTTGAATCGTCAAAACACTTCAACCCCATCCCATGAATCCTTTTAATGAGCCGCATCCCGTTTGAAGATTGTAGCGACTCTGCGAACAGAGCGTGATCTATTCGAAAAAAAAAAAACAAACTCGATAAATCGTAGTAATTCTCTTCGCGAAACACTAAATCGGCGAAACCCACATCGAAAGATGATCTCTTTCTGAAAAATAGTCGAAACCATATATATACTCTTCTCCTCCTCTGTTCATCTCGTTTCTGTCTAGAATCCATAATGGGAGATAAAGGTCGTGACTTTAAGCTTTGGGTCGCCGGAACTAACGTTAACGAGAACATCGAGCGATTACTGAAATCTGTGAATAATTAATTTTCTTTTAATTAATCTGAACAGTGATCATGGTAATTATGACGACAACAAGTAATAACTATAATATCTTGGTCGGTTATTATTTCGAAAACGAGTGACAAATATACACACACGCCTGAAACACGATACTATTAAAAAAGATTTATTTAGCCAATCATACTGCAACATGTGTTTCTACCACTTACCACTTTCCTCTCTTCCTTCAAACACAAACTCATTTTCTCTCTCTCTCTCACACCTGGAAACCCTTACACGATCTCACAAAACGTGTCTCTTTACTCTTTAACTTCAATCTACTTTAGTCATCAATTTTCCCAGATTATACTTTGTCAGTTTTTTTTTCAATGCAAATTCATATCTTAGCTTTATTTAATTATTATCACTTCCGTTTCTGATTTTTGTGAAGTTAAAGATTGAATTGTAAAATGATTTGTTTTCCTATCTGAGAAAAGAAGCTAAAACGAGCTTCAAGTTGGGGATATTCGTTTCTTCTTCTGCTATTACTTTCTGGGGGGTCTCTTCCTCTTCCTTTGTCCAAAAAGAACTTTTTTTATTTGTTCCGTATAGAAAAAAAGAACCCTTTTTGAGAAGATTAAAAAGCTTCAATTTGTAGAGAAACCCAAAAAAAAGGAGAGAGGAAAAAAGAAGAAGTCAATCTCAATTCATGAAACAGGTGAATAAAAGCTTCTCTTTTCTTTCTTTTGTTATGTATGGTTGGTTAATCGTTGTCAATGAAGAAGATGAATTACATAAATAAATAAATCAGGTGGTTACGTTGCGTCTTATTTCTTCTCTTATACTTATTTTTAAGGAATTATTAGCTAATTAGCTTCTTCTTATGGGTTTATGTATGTACATACATTGGAAATTATATACATAAGGAACAATATATTTTTATAAAATCTCTGTATATATCTTACCTTTTCCAGAATGAATCAGTTTCTTATTGTGAATACCTTATATAACCTGATTCAATGTTTTCATATGCATGATATAAAAGCCTTTTCTCTCTCTCTCTATGCTCTATGCTCTGTTCTTTGTTTTTCTTCTCTGAGAGAGTCTCTTATAATCATAGATTCTCTAAATTGCAATATTTGGTTATTTGCTAAAATTGCAGGGTTCCATGAATAGATCATGTCTCTGTAGTGTCTTAATCACTACTTCTCTCATCTGTGGTGTTTACTTCATTGGCAATGCTTATATTCATCAACAATTTAGAGAGGTACAAACATTCTCCTCTTTTGTATACTCTGTTCTATGCTGCCTTGTGATGAAAATGAAATTGTTGGAAGAATTCTGTTTTTTCTTTTATAGTCAAAAACTAGAGAAGAGTATTCTTATAAGATTTATTTATTTATTTTAAATTGCAGAAATTGCTAAGATGGGAAAGAACTGATAAGAGGCATAATGTTACTGATAAGATGCATAATAATGTCACTCAAAAGATGCAGAAGGCAACAACATCCGGTACATGCAAGGTTTGTTTTGGAACTTTATTTTGATTTTTGAGTTTATTTTGTGAGATTATTTGATATCAAAAATTTATGAATAATATTGCTTCCCTAGAATCTCAATAAGCCAATGGGAACGGAATCACTGCCGCAAGGGATTATCGCCAAAACATCAAACCTGGAAACACAACATCTATGGAACTACGATGACAACAAAAAGGTTGTTCAAAGTAGACTGAGATTCCTCATATTTTTGTGAAAAAAAAGACATCACAGCTTTTTTATTAACTTTTGTAGCTTAATCTTTTGTTGTTAATGTTCCTTGCTGTGTTTATTTTCAGGAAAGTCAGAAGACTCAGAACCGTGCAATGAGTTTGTTAGCCATGGCTGTTGGATTCAAGCAGAAGGAGCTAGTCAACAAAGTCATCCAAAAGGTTTTGTCTTGGTCTTTTTTTTTTCTATCATTGTTTTTTCTTGTCAATGAATGATACTAATTGCTGTACATATTCAGTTTCCACCTCGAGATTTCGTGGTCATGCTATTTCATTACGATGGTGTTGTTGACGATTGGAAGCAGTATCCATGGAATGAGCATGCTATTCACGTTTCCGTGATGAACCAAACAAAATGGTCAGCTTCTTTGCAATTCTTGTTTTATATTTTTCATATACTAATCTAATAATTTCATGATGTTAATGCCACAGGTGGTTCGCTAAGCGATTCTTGCATCCTGATATAGTTACAGAGTATGAGTATATATTCCTTTGGGATGAAGATCTTGGTGTATCTCATTTCAATCCTCAACGGTAATATCCATAGTTTTTTTTTCTTTTTTATCTCTGTCGTTTATTTCATTTACATGATGGATTCTTTTTTATTTTTAGATACTTATCTATTGTCAAAGAAGAAGGTCTTCACATATCGCAACCTGCTCTCGACACTACAAACTCAGAGGTGCATCATCCTATCACCGCTCGTCGCAAGAACTTGAAAGTTCATAGAAGGATGTATAAAAACAAAGGTAGCGGAAGATGTGATGACCATAGCACCAATCCTCCCTGCATAGGGTAAAAATATTCTTACAAATTTTGTGAAATGTTCTGATGAATCTATTTTCGTGGTTATAACATGTTAACTTGGATATGCAGGTGGGTAGAAATGATGGCACCTGTTTTCTCAAGAGAAGCTTGGAGATGTTCTTGGTATATGATTCAGGTAAACGTTTTGGTTCATATATATATATATATATTCCTCAAGGTTTTAATGCTTTTGTTTTCGATGCAGAACGATTTGATCCATGCTTGGGGATTGGATATGCAGCTTGGCTATTGTGCTCAAGTTAGTTTCTACTTTCTTAACCGGTTTTAATAACCTTTTACTTCATTGCCTCTTGTTTTAATTTAACACATTCTTGGTTGTGGATAGGGTGACAGGAAGAAAAACGTAGGTGTTGTTGATGCAGAGTACATTGTTCATTACGGTCTTCCCACACTCGGTGTGGTTGATACGACTTCAAGCTCTAAGCAGAATGAGACCAACCCGAAATCACCGGTATGAGCTTCTTTCAAGTATATATTTCTTTGAAGCATAAATGTTTTTACTTAATGAATCTTGTTTTATTAGGGGAAGGTTTCAGAGGAATCATCAGAGTCTCATGAAGTGGATAATAGACCAGAAGTTAGGATGAAATCATTTGTAGAGATGAAGAGATTCAAGGAACGTTGGAAGAAAGCTGTTAAAGATGATAGATGTTGGGTTGATCCTTATTGAAACACCAAAGAGGGGCTAAGTAAACCAAATCAAACCGGGGTTACCTTTACAAATACATGTTTTGTGCTCTAATGTTTGTTATTGTTTTGGGAGTACATAGATTCTGTTTTACTGGGGGGGATAAATAGTGTCATTTTCTGTTGTAGGCCACAGTAGTTTTTTGGGGGGATATATAATGTATTTTGTTACTACAGCAACTTTTAAAATTAACATTTGCTGAAAGTGTGGCTTTTTCTTCATGTTTCTACTGAAAGGAGTATTCGAGTGGTCCTAGTGAATAGTTTAGTTATGTATTGTCAATTTACTGGGGACAGATTTAGTTGGAAACCCAATTAGTGTATGACATTAGGTCAATGTCATTAAAAAGTGGGTCCAAAGTTCTGATCTCTTATCACTAATGATTCTTTGTGAATATAGGTGATATCATTAATGAATCTTTAATCGTTAGTATTAGTACAGTCGATGATAACCGGTCGAACAGATCGGTGTTTTAATTTTGATGATGCAAGTCAATAAATACATGTGACATGTAATAGGATATAACAATAGGTCTTGTGTAGCTAAACTATGTAAGTGTGTAACTTATATGAACCCCAATATCTTTCGAATATTGTATATCAATTTAGTTTATATGATGAGATCTAATTAAGTCAAAGTTGCACAGTTTCTTCGTTGTAAACTCATACTACAAACTCTTTAACTAAAAGTCATCGTAGATAACAAACTCATTAATATTTACCTACCCATGAACTGTTCATGTGAACCACATATTTTGACACCACTGTTGAATACTATGACCAAGTCCATCAGGTGAGCCCGAAGTCTAGTTAGTAACAAAAACAGAGCTACTGACATGTTATGGTAGTGAGCCCGAGGTCTAGTTTGCATATGTGTACACCATTTAAAACTTAGTATCTCTTAAAGAGGCAAGTAAAGGTAAGCTTATGTACATGGGAGGATCTACATGCACATGAGTGGATCAGCCGACCCTAGTAGAATATTAAAAATTAGATTTATAAACTTAGTTCAGAAAAGAGCAAGTGCTCTAATGGTGTACGATCTATTGCATTGACCCTCTTTATTCGAGTTTGATTCCCCAATTTGTATCTTTTTTTTTTTTTTTGAAACACTCACCAATTTGTATCCACTTTAGATTTTTTTTAAAAAATTTCAGGTAGATTATTTTGGGCCTAAAACCTGAATTTAAAGTGAACATGGGTATTGATCCGAAAAGAAGAACATTGATCAAAACTAGCTTTTCAATTGTTTTTCAGATCTTGCTAGTCCTTCAAATCTAGTTAGTAACATTATTTCCTGGCTCCGCCACTACTTATATATGTATACGTTCCAAGTATTAATGATCTAGCGATCTGAAGGACTAGCAATGTCATTGATTGCTATATAGATTGTAATTGTTTCTGGTTTTGTTGTGTTAAGTTTATTGTGTATGAGAAAGACATGAACTTTGACATGTATTACTACTACTTATATAGGCTACAATGTTGAATCTACTGAGGCGGTGCTGAATCTATTGAGGCGGTGCTGAATCTCGTTTGCACTGCTTGCAGCAAGCCTTGTCGCTCCAAAACCGTATGGCTACAATTCTCATTTCTCCTTTTATGAATTTGAGTCTGCTTTTGTTGGTGGTTGTTAGAAGTTAGTGGCAGATCTCCTTGCGGTTTTCTATTATCAAGTTTCAAGATTAATACATGTAATTTTGATGTTTCTGAGTTATGTAAACGGGTTTGATTTTGTAATTTCGATTTAGTTATAGTCTTTACTGGCTTTGTGGCTTTGAAACTGATGGGTTTTGACTCAACTTTTGAATGAAACTGAGTCCATTTTATAGTGTATCATGTTGATTTTTTGGTCTTAATTATATCGCAAAATTGATAAATTTGACATGTATTTCTCGTTTATGCATTTTTTCATGTTTGTTTAAAAATTCTAATAATAAATTTATATCTCTATTTTTAATATGTTTTTATGTCGTTTTTGTTTAAATTTTATGAGATCCAATAATTTATAAGTTTTGTAAAATTTAAGTTTAATAAAATTTCTAAAAACAAAAAAAAAGTTAAGAACTCATAGGGATTCTCTCAATAAACCTTCTCAAAACTAATTACAATACTAAAGTTTTTAAATTTCAAAAAAGATACAACTAACAATTAAATTAATTTTAAGAACTCTTAGAGATTCTAACCAAAGAAGTCATAACTTCTTTGAACTTCAGAATTTATATATAGACTTGTAAAGTTCTCATATAGCGTTCTCAAATGATAGAAGAAAAGAAATTTGAAAGCTAAAAGTATGCTGTTAACAGAACGATTTTTTTTTTATTGCTAGGTATGCATGAATTTTATACTGAGAAGTAGCAATTTGATCTTAGAATGAAAATGAAAAAAAATCACTATAATATGTCACAGACTACTTTCTTAACAAACAAAATGAAGGAGTGTAGACTTTTTAACTTAAGAAGTCAAAGACCTGTCTCCATATATGCATGCACGTTGAAAGAGCAATTAGAGAATGATCTGTAGAGAACAATACGTTCGAAGTCTTTAAAAAAAATACAATGTTCAATAGATGAAAATATACAATCTATCTCCAAGCATCAACATCCAAAAAGCACAAAAGAAAAAAACATTAAAAACAATCAAAAATCAAAATCTTCATCATCATCATCATCAATCTCATGGTCCATTAAAACCCAAGACCCATCATCTTGCTGGACCATACCTTTGTTTTTAAGAACCCTCCAATGTTTTGGGACCATATATTCGTCTTTTATCCCGTCGACTGATTTGTTGACAAGTCCAATGTCTCTTTTCACATCGAGTCTAAATAAGTCACCATTCCTCGTACCTTGACTCCCCGCAACGCCATGCAAGTAAGATTCTAGGCAGTGAAACGTCGCGAAGGTTCCTGGAGTTTTCATGTATTGTGACTTTCTTGTGTCTATTGGTAACTCATCTCCAACTTCGGAGTAACCTAACGGTGGATAGATTGGTACTACGTCCGGTAAATTCCTTACCCGTAAAACTCGAATATCTTCTAATCTGTATTGGTTTGATTAAACAAATTGATTATAAGTCATGTTTTATTTAAACAAGTTATACAACCATGTAAGAAGACACTAAGACGTTATACATTACTAATGTAGTTAATGTTGTAAATATGAATAGATTGGAGAGACGTACCCGGAGAAGAGTTTCTTGTAGTCAGAATTTCCGACACGAGGACTAGCAAAGACAAAGGCCGTAACGGGACAAGATTTGCCAGGACGGCTCTTTGGTCGGTTATAACCATTAGCCACTATATCAGTAGCATTAAGCGTCGCGAGCGCAGCTCCAAGACTATGACCACAAATACTTATACTAACCTCTTCGTCCTTATACTTCTCCATCAATCTCCCAAGCTCTCGCATTACCTTTTGTCATTTTAATCAAAAAGTTATTCTCAAAATATTTTCTCAAAAGAGTAGAATCATTAGCGTACGCGTTACCTGGTCACGAGCATTGGCCTTATTAAAATGTGATCTTTCATCTTCCGACATGTAGATTGAGTACCAACCTTGATGAATTTGCACTTGATTATATTTCTCACCGAATATTTTTTTGGCATCCACTAAACTGAAATCGAAGTCGCTGACCCATTCAAGTGGTTGCACTGAACCTCTCCAAACGATGACTATATCTCTCCGACCAAGAACCGCCGTGCCTTGGTCGTCTGTCACCGCCACGTAACCCATCCAGTTTGATTCCTTCGACCATCCCTCACGTGACACTGGGAACAATAGGAATGCCTCAGGCACGTGGATCTCTGATGTCGCGTATAGAAACTTGGTCACTTTGTACTTTTTATATGGATGGGCTTTCTCTAAGCCAACCTGTGTACGCGTTTCAGAACAAAAAGAATAGTTTGCTTTAGGTTTCTTGTTTAAGAAGAATACACTTATACACCTTCTTTCTTTATTTAAATTAAAGTATCGTCTTGCTTCTATTGGTGACATTGCTGAAAAACATCGGTCATTACAAAGGAATTTTAGTCAAATTATTTAGAATAATGATTCTTTTATTCTTCATATCATTTTCTTTATTTCAAGATTTGACATAAATTGACATGATTCATTTTATATAAAAACAACTCATTTTACCTAACATAAATCACGATTCCACAAAGATATCTGATGAATAGTGACAGCCATATTTAGTTTTTTTTTTAACCAAATTATAACGTTTTCAATATTTAATTTAATTTTTTCGATGTTACCTTGGCGAAGAAGTCTTTTTTGGAGTAAATGCTAGAACCGGCATATTTAGATTCGGTGTTAGTGTTGAAAGTATCATAACCAGCCTGAGCCATCTCGCCATAATGTATGATATATTGCCGGAGATCTTGATCCAACGGCTGTAACATCCCTTTCCAATGGTCTTGACCGCTGAGATTTCTCCATCTCTTTGCGATTTCTCTAGATACTATTACTTTCTCTTCCTCTTTCTTCTTCTTATTCTTCTTTGTAATTCTCCTGAAGTTGAAACACCTCGTCACTTTCTTGTCTTCTTCGTCCATAATATTCCAGATGTTTAATGTTTCTTTTCTAGTTTAGGCTCAGAGAAACTCTTTGGATCAGAGAAGATATATAATGTTGGAAACTTTGGAGATAACGTATGGTTTGGTTGATATAAATAATGGTTACCGTAGTTGATGCGTGTTGCAGGAAAAGTATAGTTCTCGAGACTATCTAATATAATACATTCCTTTGATACACAAAAAAGGTTTCTCAATGTATCCAAGAAGAAGTTATTTTAACGTTAAAGGAAAGCAATAGCTGACCAAACAAAAGAGGAAAGAATATAAAGAGGAATATTGAATTCCAATTTGACTCGGTTTAAACAAAAACCAAGAATTGATTGGTTTACTTTGGTGTCAAGATTACCCGAATTAAAGAATATGCTTTATGGGAACTGAAACTGAAATTGTACCGAACCTTACCAAACAATCTACTCATTTTAAATATGGTTATTTCTATATTGACATGTATAGGTATTTGGATAATGATTTTGGATCATATTACGTGAAAGCATCAGTGTGTGCACTGGTATCACTAATTGCCAATTGCTTGTAAACGTGGAGCAAGCTATCTTTACTTATTATGATTATCAACTTTATTTGAATAAGATCATATATTCGAATAATTAAGTAAAACTGATATGAAACAAATTTCATACAAATAGTCTAATCTTATTTCAAACTACACATAATAATATAGTCGATAGAGAGCCAAGAATAGTTCCGAATTTTAGGGTCATGTCTTATGTATGTTAACAACTAAAACCACACATATAAATGACATGATTTCAGATCACAATTATTGATTGGTGTCTATATATTATATATTTATCTTATTCATCCATGGATGTTTTAGGGGTGCACGTTAGGATACACATACACATAGGTTTTTTATGGTCTTTTGCTTGATCGATTAGAACGTTCAAAACCCCAGTGTTTCGCTTCACAAAGGTACTTCGCTAGGGTTTTAACTGGTTGGGATTAGTCTTACATCCATGTTTAAGCCCAGTAGTGTTCCTTGATGTAGTATTTCAGAAGACAAATGTTTTTTTTAGAAATTTAGTCATAAAGAAAAGTAGGCTGGAAGTTGAATGAAAATACCTCTTTTTCTATATTCGTACATCTTTCTTTAAAAAAAATTGCGTTGGCCAATCTATACTATTAAAGCTGAAGTACAAAAATTAAGTGTTTGGAAACATGAATAGTAAGTATTTAAATTAAGATGATTGGAAACAAGGATAGCCTACAAATCTAATGGGCTTACTTATTAAACTAAAAATAACTGCGGCCCAAAATACCATTATTATTGTTTTTGTGTTTTCTATCCTTGATATTATTTTATTTCTGAT